GGGGGGGGCATAAATTAATTGCACAATTTTTTATGGTTATAAATTATAATATAATCTGAAACAAAATATGAATTATATAACAAAATCTAAATTTCTTTTTTTACTGCCAGCAAATAAATCAATAACTTCGTCAACTTCAACTGTTCTGTGTCTATGAATATTAAGCAGAGCTAACCCAACTAAGTGACTATATATTGTGACCATAACATTACTCCTAATCCCAATTTAGTCGAATATTGACATTTTATACATAGATAATATACTATCATTATTTTATAATACATTGATAAGTGATATCAAAAACTTTTGATATCAAACACGATTAAAATCAGTGAAAATTAAAAATATTTATTATTTACATTATTTAAGCTGGACAATGAATTTGCATTATGACATCAAAAAACTTCTCGGGGGGGGGCAAATGCCCCTGTTGCCCCCCCCCACAGGTACGCCACTGAGTAGGATAGCTATAAATCTAGCGAGGAACGCGAATAAGACGCAAACGGGGCGACCCGAGGCCCCCGAGGGGGGTAAGACTCGAAGAGTTTGAAAAAAATCTCAAACAGTGAAAAATCTCAAATATAGTAGTAGTGATAAGAGACGGCGATTACGCTCGCGGGGAAACGGAGCGTTTTCATTGGTTCTCTATTAAGTAGATGCGAAATTTGTGCACTGAGTGCGCCCTCGGGATCACGTTTTATAGTATAAGGAAGGAAGAAGAAGATTTATATATTAAGATTATGTTGCGGTGGCAACAATGGGGAAGACACTATTCAGTGATAATATCAGTTTGAAATACTATGAAAATGAAGGTATCTTATTAATAAATTGGATTATTATTATGATTACATAACTATTGACTTAAAATATGTAAAAACCAACTAATTAATGAACAATTAATAGTAATAAAATCGATCAAATACCTATTAATATTCAAAGAAAAACGAGGCAGTTTATGATCGTAAACGATATATTCCATTATAAATAATAGGTACAAACCAACAAAAAATATCAATTCTCCCAAGTAATGCCACAACCTTGAACAGGCAAAGTTTTAAAATAATATTACGAATCACTTATCGGTTTCCATTCAGGGATAACTTATATAAAATAAATATTACAGACCTACTTTAACTAAAGACACATCTTATTATTTTAAATCAAGCCATACTTGTCAAATAAATTAAAAATAAATGGAAATCCTATAGGCCAACTACAACAGATACTTCTTTCAAACAGGCCTTTCGATAAATTTACATTGGATTACTTAGTACCATTAATATCCAGTAAAAATACAAAATGTTTTAGAAGTCTTGTAATAACACCGAGTTTATATTTACTATAGCTGTAGAATCAGTAAATCTGGCAACTGCATATCGACTATTAATTGTATTACTAAAATTATATCGCCATGGGGTTCTTTCTACTTTCCAATAATTTGTATCAGATAGTGGCACGTATTTTAAAAACTAAATGGTAAGCGATGTGTGTGAACATTTAGTAATAAAACAAATATTATCAATAAGTTACTAAACACAAGCACAAGGATTTAAAACAAAAAAATGGTGCATTATGAATTTTCATAAAAAATTATGTTTATGGAAGATAGATTTAGTGTTTGCTATACCCACTTTTGATTTTAATTTTATTACTTTATCATCAAATTGAGATTGTACATAGGTATTTAATTAATCATAATTATTATTGTACCAAAAAAGTTTTTAACAAATGTTTTCCACTAAAAATCTAACCTAAACAGAACCTCACTGTATTTGCACCATTCGCGGGATTATTAATTATTATAAATAAATACATAATCTTATACGAATACTTGCCTGCTCTAAAATCTTTTTTTTTTCTATACAAATCTGTATTTGTAAAATCGAATCCAACATATCCTAAAAATATAATCAATAACCAAATATAGTTTTAATTAATTTAAAAAAAAGGAATATTTTGATTCTTAATATAATTTTTTTCAACTTAAATCAAAAATAATTGTAATTTATAATTTTTAAATTTAAAGTATATAATAATATGTATAGGGTAATCCGTTTTGCGTACATTTATTATTTCAGAGAATTTTTTTTAAAATACAATTTTCTAAATAATTAAATATATTTTAAGACGTAAAATAGAGAATAGGTTTATACGTGTACATGACAATTGATGAAAAATATATATTAAGGAAACATAATTTAAATATATTTTACAACAAAAATCTGGGGTCAATTCGGTGAAACTATTTTAGGTCATCTTTTATCTTTCGTTTGTGACTAATATACGTTTTTTTAAATTAGTTTTTCGATATTTGTGAGGGAATTCAATTCCGATGGCTAGTCATAACTTCTAACTTATAGCTTAACTACCGAGGCTAATGAATAACAAATTTAAAGGGATTATCAATCTTTTAAACGTTGCATATAACAATATACTAGTTATTAAATACTTTTTAAAATATTATAAACCACCTATTTCTTGATGTGGACATAAAATATATTAGAATAAAAAATAAATAGTTTGAAATAAAAAATATTTATCATAAGTAAATTACCCATTATCTTCAATCTAACTAAATATGACATTTCATTTTCATTATTGACTATAAATTCTAAACACAACAATAAGATCATTAATATTTTATAAATCTGAAATAATTATTATTTATGAAGGATAGAAATGAAGTTATTTTAATTGTATGATATTTATAGTATATTTTTATAGGTGTGTGAAAGTTTGGCAGTGTGTTGTCTGAATGGAACTACTTTATTATGGAAAACATAACCTTATAGAAATACATAACATGATGATGTATAATACAGATAACCAATGTTGAAAGTACAAGTCTCCCCAATAAACATGAAAGCTAATGAAACAACATTGATAGAAATTTAAAAAAAAATTAATGCATTAAATAATACATTTCAAATCTAAAACTTAATGCAAATAGTTATTTAATGAAGTGTTATAAAGTATTATGTATCCTCTTTTATTTTTGTTTCCATTTTTGAATGTTCATACTGTTCTTTATTCCTTTTTCTCGTCCTCTTTAGTCAAGTTTTTTTTGAAGTGTGAAGCATTTTTGGTTAATAACTTCCATTTTCTTGATTCGGCAGAACTGTACCCCCGAGGCCCTGACGTTTAATCCACGTTATTTTGCTCCTATCCTGATGACACAGTTGTTACTAACTTATGTATTCTGCTCACCGTGTTATCTTAATATTTACTCTACTTCATCATAATTCTTCATACCTATACTCTATTCGGAATGAGATCGTACCTCGGCGGCCACCAGATTTCGTCTGCGACGGTCAGACGGTTCCCCCACCTAGAAAGCTCGTGAGACCAGCACTGCGGAACGTAGCCGCCCCTTTGCGCAGAAGTCATTTCGAATAGAGGATAGTAACCAATATCTGTTTTGGAATAGTAACGATGATAGTTTTGCTCAGATTGTTGCATGTGGTTTTCTACTCTACGACATACAATTAAGACAAATTCATCTATCACTTCTTTCCATTTACCTTTGTCACCATTGATTTGAGTACTTTTCTCAAAGTCCTCATGAACCCTGCATAGCGCTGTTTGCACTGACACATTGTCTTTTTTATTTTTATTAGAATTGAAATAGAAGGCTCATTGTCATTGTGAAAAATAAACTTTTTGAACCACCCGTCACCCACACTACGGAAACCATTCATATTTAAAATCTGATAGTACCTTTTTTCAACATTCGATAGCGTCCTGCTTGCGTATGCAATGACAATTGTTTTATTTTTCTATGGTTGAACTAGGATTGACGCTACACTTTCTGGCCATGCATCTACCATTGATTCATTTTGTTTACTGGTATCATAATAAGTATTTTGCATATCATTTACTCGTATTATAAGTTTTTTCAGTTTGTAGAATGTCATTTGTTTTTTTTTGTACCCCACATCATTTTTTACGATTAGGTAAATCTCTTAGTGGTTTTTTTTCACTTGCTAACTTAGGTATAAAACGACCACAATAATAATCATGAAAATATTCTTCTAACTCCTGCTGGATTAACTAGTAAAACTATTGTAATTTATTTTAATCAGGCTGTATACCTTTACTGTTGAATTGAAATCCAAAATATGTTGATCTTTGGAATGTCACTTCTTAACATTCAAATTCAATCAAATTTCACGCAACTGCTTTAGTACTGTTGTAACGTTTTTATCGTGTAATCTTTTACGTTTAACATAAAGCAGGATGTCACCACTCAAATTTATTATGTCAGCATAAATTTAACTGCACTAAATTCACGTTCAACCAAGTAGGATGATGGAAATGCGATCAGAAATGTTTGTACAACAGCCCACAATCCAGGATAAAGTATAGGTATCTGCTTTTGTAGCCAGAATATTTGGTAACCTTCCTTGAACTTTAATTTTAATTCCTCATTTGTAGTTACTTCTATCAATTCTTCTTCTAATTTTGCAGAATCTATGGTTTCTGTATTTGAAAATGGATCTAAAACTCATTTGGGTATGTTCATTTTAAGAATATCCTCAAATCGTTTGTTGAAATCGGAATGTAGTGCTTCCAGGTGTTGACAATATGTCATTAAATCTTCATCATTTTTTTGTGCCATTGATAGATTTGGAAACTGTATAAATTCTTTTCGTCCTAAATTTCTTTTGTACATAAGAAGTTTTATTAAAAATGCAGAAATAATATTTTTTGTTTTGATTAAATTCAAATCATCACCTTGCAGCTGCAAAATTTGTTTCATTGAATTTTTTAAACAGGTCAGTCAAATAAGCAATGTCACTTCTATAATTAATTAAGTTGCTTCGTAAAATATCATCTTCAGTTTTTAAAAATTCAAGTACCGAGTCAAAAAACTTATAGAATCTGTCTAAACAGGAACCCTTTGACAACCAACGAACTTCTGTGTGAAATAATAATTGATTGAATTCTTCGTCATTTTCAGTACAAAGTTGTCCAAACAATCTATTATTCAATGAATTATTTTTGATTTTATTGATAGCTGAAATTACATAATGTAATGAGTAATGACTTATGTAAGCGTTCACTCAAATTTTTGGTAACTAAATGTTGTCGGTGAATGACACAATGTACAGCGAGTACATTTGGTACAGTTTTTTTCAAATATGCAATAAAACCTCGATGGCACCCTACCATGGCTGGAGCACCATCGGTCGCAACTGATAAGATATTACACATAGGAATTTCTTTTTCTTTAAAAAACTCTTCCAATGTGTGATATATTGATTCTCCTTTTGTGTCAGTCATCAAGTTTTTAGCAAATAATAATTCTTGGCAAATCTTTTCTTCTTTTACGAATCGTACGTAAGCTAATAATAAGGCTTCGTTACCTGGTAAAGTTGATTCATCGAGCTGTATAGAAAATTTGGTGGCTTTTAAAAACTCGCATAATAATTTTTCGACAGATTGTGCCATTTCATCAATTCTCCTTTGCACTATATTATTGCTCAAAGAAATTTTTTTAATAATGTCAAAAGCTGGTTTATGCAGCATTGTGTTTATTACCTCATTTATAGCTGGTAAAATAAGTTCTTCGCCAATAGTATGCGGTTTCCCAGATTTGGCAATTAGTAGAGAAATGTTGTACGAAGCTCAAAATCCGTCATCATCTTGTTTCGACGTTGTTGAAAACATATTGATCAATGTTGGCTCTTTCAAAAATTTCTTTTCAAGTGATTGAAAATAAAATAAATCCATATTTTTTTTATTAGCATGAATTTTTGTTAATGTTCTTGCAGTCTCGACGGTTTCATAGCCTCATTTGAAAATAATTTTCGGCAAATGAGACACATTGGTAATATTATATTTGTAGGCGATTGAATAAAACCATACTTCAAATATTCAATATTATACTGCCTACATTTTTTCTTCCATTCAGATCCCATGATGTGAAAAACGTTTAAAATTTAAATAAAATAATATACAAATTAACAAAAATTATTATAAAAACGACAACGAATAAGGTCGGCATTCGAAAGTGTACTAAATACAAAAATAATTCAGATAATTTAGATCATGTACGTTGTTTCTGTTATCGCTCAAATGACAGATTATCGACGAATGTCGACAGACGACGAACGATTAATCTAAAAATACAAAATACACAATTCAGATAATTTGGATTACGTACGGAGTTTCTGTTATTGCGATAACGACAGATGAAACTATCACTGCCCCCTTTTTGTAATGACCCCCCCCCCCAATTAAGCTTGTAACTTTCATTGCCCCCCTGGATATAGCTCTAGCGACCCCGAGGGGGCGATATCGCCCACTTTGGGAAACACTGCCCTAGGCGATCACTTCACGTTCTGGGATTGACTAACAAATAATCACCGACAACCGTCGTTGATCGACTGCACTGGGTATCCAAGCTGCAAAGTTTCACTGCTGTTTAACCCAACCTAACGCCCGTGGAGCTCGATTTTTGGTAGGGATATGCAACAAGATGAGTTTTGGTCGGCTGATTATTGGTTCACATCACTCTTCTCGTGAACAGAGTATATAACAATAATTTATGGAAGCCTTCATATAAAACCAATTTTTTGAATGGTGTGGAGCCATTAATTACATAATATATTAAAATATCATCAAATGTGGGTATTACATACCGAATCTTGGCAATCGCTTCATTTGCACATCCACCATTTACTCATAACCTATTTTTTCTATTCTTTTTGGGCGATATTACTAAAGGTGATAACCATGGTTACATCTTTTCTGAAACCTATTAATTTCTTCTTCGACTGCTTTTCTCAAATGGATGAGATTATCCACATAATAGGATATTCAGCTATGATATTGCACTACTGTCTAATATTGTATTATTAATATTTAAAATAACTTGAGTAGCTGAAAACTTTCCAAGTCCTTTTAAAAATATTACTTCTTGATTTTCGACCAGTGCATTTACCGTGTTCCAACTTTAAGCAGTATCAAGTAGTTCTTGACCATCCCCTTGAATCACATAAAAAATACTGTTTTTTCTCTGTCTTTTTGTTTATGATAACAGCTTTTAATAGTGTGAACATTGTTAGTGGATCACAGCTTCTATATTCAAATAGTATTTGATCTACAACTTGATTATCCGTCATAAAGCTTAAATTGTTGAGTTTCCACTTTTTTTTCTAAAATAATGTTGGACCTTGACCCAGAATCGAATGAAAACTGTTTTGGTTTATACCACATTCTATACATCTTACATATTTCTTAACAGCATCGATGATTTTGAATTTATTCATATAAAATTGTCCTGTTATAGCTTGGTTTTGCAGCCAATAAGTATGTACACTACTACATAGAAGTTTAATTACCAGTTATAAGTTATATGAACATGATGATAAACAAAAATATACTTATAGATTATGAATAATATAAAAAATAATACTAAAAATAAAAAGATGATTAGTAATAGTAAATAAAACATAACTGTATACTAAATTGGATTTTTTCATTCATATATGATACAATAGGTATTTTAAGACAATTTAAGACTTAATTCAAAAAAAACATTATAAAATGTGTAATTTATAATATATTGAATCCAATATTCTAACACCTATTATTTTACATGCAATCAACATAAAATGTTAAAATGTTTTTAAATGTATGGACCACTCGTCATTTGACAACCCATTCAGGCCTTTTTAATTTCCATATTAATTATTATTTTTATTGAAATCAAAACTACAATATAACAATATAATGCGTTTATAGCAGTGGAAAATTGTATTGAAATAAAACTAATTAAATATTATTTCTGTAATAAGAGCATGATATTGAGTTGGAATACTTACTCTTTTTCAACATTTCGGTTTCACTTTCATAGTCCTTACAAACTTAACACACAATACTTATATTTATTTTTATGATTTATTAAAACAACAAATATTCATATCATTTTTTTAAAAATGGGGAAGTCAAGAGTTCATTATTAATGAGTAGGTTTTTGGAATGGAAGTGTTAATAAAATTAAAATTGATTGATCAATAGATAATATATTAGAAAGAATGCCAGAAAGTGAATTTGATAATTCATTTATATTGGAATGTATAATTTATTTTCTATTAGAAGTAAAAAAACATAAAAGACATCATTGTAAAATTAATTAATTTAAGACACCTATTTCAAATCGTACAAGCTTATATAGGTATAAGTATATAAGATCTAAAACCACATTCGATCCTAATCAAATTAGTTTTATATAATATTAGAACTGGTTTTAAAGAAGATGTTGTAAATTTCTGCCTAAGAACGAAGTTAACTGAATTGATGTGAAATGGAATTATTGTGTTAATGGACTTTCCTTGAATACCATGCAAAACCAGTAGACATTTCAGACTTGACTGGTTTAATAAGTGTTATAATTTAGTGAATTCACACATTTTCACTATTAATATGCTCAGATTATTAATTAATAATTCTCCATTTTACTAAATAATATGATTATATTTAATACAATTATATTTTAAATCAACAATAGAATGATAATATATGGATGGAGATTACAAAATAAAAAATGACTCTACTGGGAAAATATATGGTACCGTAACATTTATTATGGAATTTTCCCGACTAAATATTAATAAGTAGTGAAAATATGTCTTTGAATGTTCATAAAAAAAAATATATAGTAAAACCATTACCATTGTCAGAATTTCCTATTTCCTCTTTTTCTGATTCACCTTAAATACAATAAAATAATTATAATGTTAAATTATGAAATATAATACAAGAAATGTACTTGCATCAATACCTAATCGAACCACGAATGTATCGCTTCCCACCTTTGAATTTCTTAAAGACATCACATTAAAAGCTTTCCGGCAACAACAGCAAATACTAGAATACCTTAAATGAACCAAGCCTAAATTTCTCAATTCTCTAGATGGCGTGAAGCAAATCTAATACATCAAAAGAACAAACATTATCTATTCTTCACACATTTGATAGACCTGTCGAAACGAATTATTCTATTATGTATATTACCATTTCTAGAAAACGCAATTATCGATCTTCTCGCAAAACTAAATGTCAAAATAACATCTCACACCAGGTTAGGTTAGGTTTGGTTAGTCTGGTTTTCAACCAATCAATTCACTCACCTAACGCAAACAACTATTCATCAATCTGGATGATTTGAAAAACTCCAGTTTTCAATCACGGTCAACCTGGGCAAACCTCATCGTATTTTTACAGCTAATGACATAGTAACCTGTTTGCTGTATAAATAACCCAGACATCTGTCTTCCTCGTGCAACAATAAAAATTACTATGTTGTTATTGTTAAAAAATTAACAGTTACAATCTCCAAAATTTCGATGGTACTCTCTGTAGAGCATGCCACCGCCAAACGAAAGGTGTAGTGTAGATACTAACTCACCGAGTCATAAGTCACCGACGATGTTATTATGGATACTCGAGAAGATAAGGATAACATCCAAAGGTGAGCCCCAGAATCCACCAGTTCGTCATGACCTCCCCCAAGTCTTTCGACACATCCAGCCCTTGATTTAGACAATGTTACTCATAATATATCTAATACAATCACTCATACCAAGAAAAACCTTAAACTAGTAACTCTAGATCAAGATCTACACCATCAACTAGAAGCACAAATATTAGATATCCAACTCGAGTATGCTACAGCTATCTTCCAAAATAATGACACCCCCATAGGTCTTATCTCGTTCAAGGTTATTTTAGAAACTGTCGCTAGCAAAAATCTAAACGTACACGAAATATACAGTAATATTGTATCTAGCTGAGGTTCACAAATAAATAACCATATAAATAGAACATTTTATACTTTTTGATCAATACAAAATCTACTATTCTAACTTCTAATCGAAAATAGTAATACTTATAGACATTCGATGAAAATTTCATGCAACTATGGTAATTTTTTTTAAGAGTTACACCAAAAATCAAAATCGCAATCAATGCTCTATCTTCAGCTATGAAAATTAAAAATGTTCTAATGTTTTAGCTACAAAATAGTTTTTGAATTTTTGTGACTTGCTCATAAAAAAATTGAGTATTAAATTATACAGCTTTAATAATATTTTAACCTCCAATCTTACAATTTATACAAGGTAGCTCATCTTATTATATTATGAGTTGAACATTTTTATGGCTATTAGTAGAAAACTGGAAAAGTTAAATTTGAAAAAGAGTAAAAAAATTATTTATATGTTTTCATGTAAGGAAAATGCTAATATACATTTGGTGACAATTTAAAGTGTCTAGGTATACGATTATTTGTTTCACATCAGAAATCATTAATTTAATATTGAATATTTTATATTGTTCAAATAATTCAATCATTCAATTAAAAACTAATTCCTAAAAACCTGATCATGAGAGAAACTGACCCTCCGTATGTAGTATGTTGGTTATAAACTAAGATCACTATTAAAACGAACATCATAGGTTTTTATAATGTAGTATGTCATTTTGTTATCTACTTATCTAAAAAAATATATAGTAAAACCATTACCTTTGTCAGAATTTTTTGTTTCCTCTTTATTTAATATACCTTAAATACAATAAAATAATTATAATGTAAAATGATAAAATACAATACAAGAAATGTACTTGCATCAATACCTAATCGAATCACGAATGTATGGCTTCCCACCTTTGAATTTCTTAAAGACATCACATTAAAAGCTTTCCGGCAACAATAGCAAATTCTAGAGTACCTAAGTAGGATAAAAAGGAGAGTTCAAAAACCTGATCCACTGATCCCACTGATCCCTGATCCTGATCCCCTGATCCTGATCCACTGATCCCACTGATCCGCCACCGCCCGCCACCGCCGCCACCGCCACCGATCGCTTACGTGCGCGACATACATGTTATCAGTTATCAGTTATCAAATAAATTGTTATCACAAATGTTATCTTTTGTCACCGTTATCATTTGTTATCATATATTTTACCCATAGATTTTACCATCGTTATTGTTATCACATATCTTATCAGTTATCACATGTTATCATATATTATCATACATTCAATCCGTTATCACATGCGCGGCATACATTTTTCATATATTTAAAAAAAATATAATATTCTGCGTTAGAACCTGGAGATACCCTCCTTCTCAACTCCACTCTAACCCATTGAATAATATAGTATATATATATATTTAAATACTATCCCATAATCAAATAAATATTCTAACAACGTATTGTTCCTTCTTATATTTTTAGAAAAATAATATATACAAACATCCTTGACAAATAATAGATATATTATCCGTATTCAAATAAATATTCACACACTATCTTGCAAAAACCATTCATATTGAAAGGCACTTTCGACATTAAGAGACAATAGGAGAATATCCTTTTTCAATTAAAGCTTAATGTACCCTACCGGTCGCCAGGATGTCGCGGACTCATAATGTATATCCCTATTCAATTCATCGATAAACAATTAAGAACATACGTCACCAGGATGCGATTGTGCCCGGCCGGTCGACAGGATGTCGCACACTAACGATATTAAAATGCCTATTAGTGAATAACACACATTAATAACTTTGGTATATAAAATATCATATCTGCCGTCCTAAGGAAGAATGCCGTAAGTTTCCTTCATGCCATTTCGAGAAAAATGAATTTTTATGTTTAGTAGTTTTTGGTAGTTCTATTTTCATAAATATAATATTTTTCAAAGTAAAATACATATTTTCTTACGGAAATATACTCAATGAATGCAATGGAACTATTCAATTTTATTTAAAATTTTTAATTCACCAAGATATGCTTGTTTTGATATTCATGCTAAGTACGTACCTACTTAATTATTTAGAATAAGTTACTTGGCAAAAATGCCGTAATTCTAGTTACGGCTTTTTTCCGTAGCATACCAAAATGTACTAATCACTAACAATTACAGAAATAACGCCGTATATTATCAATACTAATTTTTAGTTTTAATTTATAACACAATTTGAAAGTAATTACAATATCTTTATCTTGAAATCAAAGTCATCTAGTCATTATACATTTTTAA